TTAAACAATTATTTTAATTAATTCAATTAATTCAACTTGACAATGTTGAAAGGCCATATTTTACTATTTGATGTAAATTTTATATAACATTGAGAAATTGCCCAATTGCCAAGAGAGAGTTGCATTAGAGTCATGTTTGGGTTTGTTGAAATGAAACAACCTCATGATTGAACTTTGTCATCACCAAAGTGTAAAAACAGTGATCCTTTGTAGAGTTAGTGAAGAATGACAAACACGGGTTTATTCTGTAAAAATGAAATATTTTAATTGGTGGTTCAATGATTCATTTTTGCAATCATAAAAAAACAAACCAGAATGTTGCATACAGAAGACAGACTGCACACCATTCTAAAATCATTCCACTTTATGAAAATAAAAGGGAAACATAATGCTTTCCGACTGTTCAAATCAAATATTAAGACATGTTCATGGTGTGAGGCGGGTGTTTTAAATTCCCATGAAAAAAACTCAGATAACGGACGTTTTGATGATTTACAGACTTCTTAAAAATTCACTCTTAGAATTTTAGCTCAATTTGGCATTGTTTTGAAATGTATGGAATATAAAGAAACAACAGTAACAGCCAACAAATAATAAACTATGCACCACTGAGACCCGGGCATCGAAATGCAACATAATAAAGTACATCATATTGTAAAGCCCCAAGACATTGTCGACAATGTCAGGAATAAAATACTTTCATATTTTTGAAATCTGAAAAAAAAGCGCCAATTTGAAAATAGGAGAAGTCTTAATTTTGGCCAATTTTGTTTCAATGTTGTATATTTTTGTCGGATTTGTTCAAAGGATAGCTTTCTTTAAAAATAGGTTTGAAAAGACCATAATAATATAATGTCTGCAAGTTTAATTGATTAATACATTCTAGTAAGAACCTTTTTTGTATGGTTTCGGGATGTAGAAACGGTTACAAATAGAAAACAAAATGAAATGTACTGTCCAGTATTTTAGAACGTGTTTAATTTAGTTATTTGTTGTTTTCAATATTTTAGTAATACTTTTATATATTGTGTACATTGCTTCCGTCTGCTTATACACAATGAGTCCATTTCAGCCATTACTGCTGTTAAAAAAATAAATAAATTATGATTATGTAAAAATAATACTAGCAGAATATGCTCCTGTTTGGTACTCCAAATTAACAAGGCTGACAATAAATATTATTACAAAATACTGGACTGTTAAAAACATAGGATAATTGATTGACTTTTCAATAAAAAAAAAAAAAAAAAAAACTTAACGGCTGTTGAAAATATAAACTTAAACACATCATAATGGATAGACGTTTTCATAAGAGCATACAGGATAGGCTTGTAATCACACAAGACGTCGCCATAATGGAATGAAATTATTCAAAAATTAAAAATCATTTCAGGCACACTATTTTACAAAGGCGTTCGCATCCAAAGGCATTCTGTACATAGTATTTACACACGCACACACACACACACACACACACACACACACACAGTCATTCGTGAGTAGTCATCATGTATAAGTCTATTCTGAGGCACTGCTTGGCCTCATCCGAACCAACGCCAACCGAAGCCTGAACATGGAAACGCACTGGTCCATGGCAACGTGTGAACCCAAAGAAATCTGCATTTAAACCAGACATATTGTGCCTAATCCTCTTTTTTGAGCCTTTAACCTTATGACAACATTGTTCAATCATCAAAAACATATACGTTGTTTTTAGTTCCATCCGCAGTATTATCAGAGACTTCCCCAACATGTCCCGCCCCTTCAGGCTGAATGCTGCCGTCTCAAACTTGGTACGCAATGATACAAAACCTGCCTTTTAATATCTCTGGTGAAATGACAAAACTGCATGGCTATATTTGCAGCACGCTATGTTAAAAAGAGAAAATCAAATAAAATCAACCAATCCCTCTGTTGGTAGAAGAGGAGAACTACATGCTCAGGTAATTTTCTTATCCTGTTCATCCATATCTTTCAAATCAATTCGTTAACAATCTAAAAACTGAATTGTCAAAATGAATAGCCTTGTTATAAATAAATAATATAGTTAAAATAAAGCATAATATTTATTCTTTACAATTAACTTGACCTAGTATATAATAACTTGTTAACTAACTATAATAACTTTAATTGTGCCCATTTCAAAAATATACATTTTAAAGTAGGGCTGACCAAACTACCGGCGTGAATGATCTCACATGAACGAGCAAGATTTATTCTATTACATAGTTTAATTTGCTGTTGCTTTAAAATGATGGGTCCTGACTTTAAAATAAATAATTGTGTTTTAGTCCGTCATAGATTGAACTTGGATATTCATGATCAAATTAAACTTATTATGAACTTCTAAACTTTTTTCTGTTATTCAACCTTGACATTTCTGCTGAGTGTTTTCAATGTTATTACTTATTCAGAGTAAGTAAACTGAACGAAGCCAAAACTGCTTGAAAAGAGAGAAACTTATGTTAGGAGCAAGGGGAAAACATGGCCTCACTTAAAAAAAAAGACATTCACCAACATCATTGAAATCATAATTTGCAAAGACATGCGATACTTTCCTTTATACAGTCAAAACCACGCTGGAAGTAAAATAAAAAAACGCATAAAAGCTCAAAAAGAAGTCTCATTAATGAAACCCCAAAACGTGCAGCGGGTTCACACATCGCCATGGCTACCAGCACTTCCTTTTCACATCTTTCGTTTGTCTGAGGTAAGGCTTCCACACCTCGCCACAGTGGGGGTCCGGCAACAGCCTACTCCCTCTGCTTTTGATTCTTCACCTGGCCCACAATGCAGAGCTGTAATTGGATGTCAGATAGCAAAAAGAAGCGGAGAAGTATTTGAAAACATGAATAATCGATATAGAAGTTATTGTGAGGATATAGCTTTGGTCAGTCACGCGTTTGCATAGCGAGAGGTCTCTGAGTAATGGACGGATCCCTGGAGTACGTTTACAAAGCATGCGGATACAGAGTGTGTTAAAAAAATTGCTAGGGTTGATCTACATTTTCCTTGATGACAAGTTGGAGCCTCGTGATGCTTTCAAATGCATCTTGTAAACTTTGCCTTAGCACTATAATGTTGTAATAGTAGTACAGTAAAGGCCCATCATAGATAACCACACTTTTGGCCGATGTAGTCATGCGAAATCTTGTTTACTTTGTTTTGTTCTTTGATTTTGACACATGCCCACTTGGCAGCAGCACAAGATTTCCAAAGCGCAAGTAAACGCACCATGTTTTGCTGCATGTAACAAAAGGCAAATCATCAAAACACCTTTCAAATGATTCAAATGAGTTGCCTATACACGTCAAAATACATACTTTTTTTTAAGATAAGAATGGATTTTCCCCGGGCTCCTACATACATCTAATGGCCTTGTCTCAGTAGAATCCGGTTTACGTGGTCACATGGCAGATCGCTGGAATTTCACACCTCAGTCAAATTACAGGGATCAGGTTTTCAATAGTGCTTTGTAAACATACTCATTGGCTCCCAGCGCTGATTAGAGAATGATTAGATACTATAAAAAAAAAAAAAAAATGAGGCTTTTCAGTCACTGGTTAATGACTATTATGTGTATTTTTCTTGCATTTTAAAGACCTTTTTTATTTTGGGAAAATTCAATGCCGCCATCAGCAGGGAGTGGAAACTGAAAGCTTCTTACCTTTTTAAAAACATATTTATTCTTGGACCCTAATAATATAATTTTCACCAAAACAATTCCAAAGCCACTGCATTGGAGTTTTTAGACTGGATACATTTAAAAAAAAAGATTAGGGTAACCGCGTGTTCTGAACAATGGAAGCCTCACCCAGACAAATGATACCATGAGCACATTTCAAGGCTTCGGCAAAAGGCTATGGTCCGACTATCCAATCACTTTGAAAAAATAAAATAAAAAATAATAAAGTAATATAGGAATTCTTTAGGCAGCAATATTGGTCTCAGTGTTATTACAATTCTGCTTCCACAAAAGCGTTCACACCAAAGGAAAATACAGGATGAAGCGTCCTCCTAAATGAATGGGCCCGATGCAGGCTTGTTCATGGGGAAAATGGCCGATTTTCGTAAAGCACAAAGTTCATTTTTTTTCTTAAAGTCTTCCATCCCCACGTCTCGTATCGTTCGGCTCGGTCTGTATACTTTCATGGTCTTCGTGTGGATAAAGCGGGAGTTTATTAGAAATGTCTCATGCTCCATTCGCGGGACGGACAGAAGCGAGCGGGAGGTGCTAGTGTCGGCCTGCGTGACCACAACGAGCCCGCAGAAGAACCGCGTGGACTCATCCCGAGAGGCAGTCGAGCTTGAGGCAGGTAGTTTTGTGTCTTTCTCTTCAATGCTTTTTTAACAGCTTCTTCTCTTAAAAAATAAAATTAAAACCAAAACCAAAACAAAAATAAAAAAGTGCTACAGAAATTATGGTAAGAGGAAAAAAACAAAACCCTTTAGAGTGTTTTTTTTTTTCAAGATGTGAAACAGATGAAAAAAAGTTGAGCCCTGAAACTTTAAAAGAGAACGAGAACTACTAAAATCCATAAATACAAAAATATGAATAATAAATATGACAATTTTTGGGAAAGGTTTGTTGGAAGCCAGGTTGATGGATGGAAAGTGTCCTGAATTTAGCTACTTTGGTACCTGAAGGGTTAACGAGGATTATGTTATATACTATTTTGAAAAAAAGTATGTCTAATAAAAGGTAAAAAATTTAAAATGCAGAAAAAAAAACCAAAAGGCCAAGAAAAAGTAAAAAAATTTAGAAATGATTTCAATCAAGAAAGATAACATAAAAATTGGAGATTAAAATATTACAACATATACCTTTTGATTAACACTTGAATTTGATAATATAAATCCAAATACATAAAACAAAATTATATAAAATCTGTTAAAAAGCTATAGTCTGTCACGTGATCTAAAAACCTGTTCCAAGACACAAAACCACCTCCGTCACTGCGCTCGTCCCCGGCTCACTCCGCTCTCCAGCGCGCCTCCTGCTACCAGCGGTTTACAATCTGGTTCATGTAGTCTTCGGTGGGCAGTCTGCTAGAGCCCGCCGCCGCCGCTGCCTCCTCCGGCCGCTCCCTGGCCCCCTCCTCCCCTGCGGCGGCGGCGGCGCTGACGGCTGTACTGACGTCGTTGTCCTGGGAGGAGGGCCACAGACTCACGCCCAGCCCCAGGCCCTGGTGCGACTGCAGGTGGTGCTTGATGCGCTGCTGCCGCCGCTCCTGCTGCCGGGTGAACTGGTATCGCTGCTGGAACAGGTCCCGGGCGTAGTCGTACAGCTCCATGTCCAGTTCGTTCAGTTCCTCGATGCGCTGGATCTGAGGAAGAGGAGGAAGAAGATAAGAGGAGGTGGTGAGAGAGTGACGAGCAACCAACAAAATCGGCTTTAGGTAAGGCAAGTTTATGTAGCACAATTCATACACAAGGCAACTCAAAGTGCTGAACAAATCAAGATAGCAAAATCAGTAAAAATCCCAGTACATTAAAAAGAAAAAAAACAATATAAAATCCCTCAGTTGTATGCACAGCTGAACAAAACTGTTTTAACCTGGATTTAAACATTGTCAGAGAATAGGCCTGTCTCACATCTTCATTCTGTCCCTTTCGAGCCCCTGCCGCACTGGCTTTAAGTTTTATATTCTTTCCCACTAGTTTTTCCTCCTTATACTATATAATTCATAACTGTTGTAGTTCCTAGTTTTGTTACTGACCAAGCAGCCAAAGTGAAAGCATGTGTATGTAGATGTGGTGGGAGTTTATAAGTCTTACTTCTTCCCGCTCTATTTCAGGTCTCCATAGAGAGGAAAGGAAGAGGAGGATATATGTAAGGGATAACGTATATTACGCGGGTCATTATCGGAAAATTCGCCCTGTCGGTACTTATTTTCCGATAATGACCTGCGTAATATACATTATCACGCTTATTATACGGCTTTATACCAACAGAACACACAACATAAACTTCAGTCCACTTTTAGGAATGCCTAAAAGGTTTATTTAATTACAGAAAATAAAATAGTTCCCAATGGCTTTCCCGTGGCTATGCTAGAAACAGTTAGGCTGGGAACTTCCAAACTAGAACTCTCTGGAACTGCATGAAAACTGAACAAAGAATTTTGAACATCAGCGGTGAGTGACCCAAACATAAACCTAACCTAAATCCATAATCTGATCCTCTGCAAATGTGTCCTAAAATGTGCCGGTATCTACTTCCGGGTTTTTCGGGATCGCCTTTTCTCGCATTACATCAGTGTTTTTGTCATGAAAACGTAAAGGGAAAATTCTGAAAACTTCCGTGCACTTGTATTAAGAATGTATATGTATAATTATTCTCCAATTAACATTTAATAGCGTTGATTGATTGGCATTTGTGTTTATGAGCGTGGCTAGCTCCGGAGTGGCCGGAACGGAACTACTTCCGGGTTTTTCATGATCGCTTTTTGACGCAGATACATAGTATTTTTGTCATGAAGACAAGACCAGTAAATTCTGAAAATCTCCGTGCACGTGTGTGCACGGAGCATAAGTATTTTCCAATTAACATTTAAGTGTGTTGATTGATTGGTATTTGCATTTATTGAGTGGCCGGAACTACTTGCGGAGTTATCCACGCATTTGAAAGACAAACAGAGAGTGCGTTGCCATGGGCAGCGGTCATTATTGTTTTGAGAGGTCCGTTATAGAAAATAATGACCGGTAGAACCTTTTGAAATTACATTCAAATCAATGGAGCATTCTACTGCTGCTGTGAGGAGCCGTATAATAAATTTATATAATTATGTACAAGGTCTGAATTTGAAAAGACAAACAACTGAATCTTGTATAAGCCTGAAAAATATAAATGAACATAAAACCTTAAAAATGAAATAAGTAATTGTTGAAGATTCTAAAATCTATGTAGTAACATCTGATAATAATGTTCGATTTAGACTGAACTTTAAATAAATGAACACTCAACTCGACAAGTGGATTGTGAGATTAGATTCCTTTTGTATGCATTTTGGCACTTAAATGTGATCTTGCATGTACTTTTACTCATGTTTTGGAACCTCAAATGCATGTGGAAAATATATGTTTTGAAAAATCAGCATCAGTCTAAGCTTGGGGAGCTAATTCTACCATCCCACAATCCCACATATAGATTATTAGATAATATGTTATTCACTAACTAACACAATATAAACCTCAAATGACATAGTGCCAGAAAGACAATCATTCTGTTCAATATTGCAGCAGGGATAAGCACCACTCACTCATTTTGGGCAGCATTTGTTCATTTCCATGTTTCAAAAAAAAGCTAATTTAAATATCAAACCTAAAATCTATGACTTTGGAGAACACATAAACCCAAAAGATAAAACAGAACAGGGCAGGAATAATAAGTGGTAGGTAAAATAGACGTTTTGCGAGCACAGAATCCTCAAAAGCAGCACTGCTAATCCATGTGACATTCATGCAGTGCACTAAAAAGCCCTTGTGGTGTTAGCATTTTTACGACCGACGTTGTTGTGTCTGTGTGTTCGGCGTTGGATGGTGGTCCCCAGTGTGATTCCAATAGTGATTGTGAAAATGATTTGTGTGCAAAACAACGCCATCAATAACGGCTCCAAAATTATATGTTGATGAACCGCGGAGTCGACCGGAGCTGACAACACAATTCTGAGCTTGTCAACACAACGCAGCAACGAGCAACTGTCGCACACTATTTCCACCCAGCTCCCAGCAACGCTCCACAAATATACTATAAGAGAGAGAATATGCAAAACACCTTTTTTTTTAGCTTTTAACTAGACGATAACATGGGTCCCTCCTTAAAAATAAACTAGTTGCTTTTATGCCCCCCCACCCCCTTCTGTCTAAATGCTGTGTTTTTAAACTCTGTACGTTATGATGCAGGAGGGTCTTAAGTACAGGGGATGAGATGTGATTTTGGTTTCTCTAAATTGTTTTTTGGGGATTTCGCCAGTTCACTGATTTTATTTGCAACTAGCTCATCCCGATAATCTAGTATAGTATTCGTCTACTTAGAAAATAATTTTACATAAAAAAAAGAAAAATAAAGAAGGAGGGTGAAATGCCAAGGCTTATTTTTGAGTGCCATAATCAAAGCAAATAATCTAAAATAATTGATCCTTAAAAGGGACTGTATGTATATGTTAATTGTAAATTGCACCGCCCAAAACTCTCTGGTCTTATTTGACGAGCACGTATCACCAGAATGATTGACAATAGGGAGGACCAATAGTCTTGATGATCCACCCGGAGGTAGAAAATCCTCCTCTACCTATAATTCATGCATTCACTTCTTCTTGTTCTGCTAACTTTCTATTTATTTATTTACATTTTTGTTGTGTTTTTGTGTATATCTTTGTGAATGCTCCCCGAAAATCTCCCCAAAAAGCTCTGCAAAGCTTGTAAATGGGGTCCTACATTGCATAGACAAAAATGGCTAACACAAAGGAAGTTTAGTATTCACATAATGGTAAAACTAATAGTAAAACTTAAAAAAAAACAAATAACCTGGGCTCTCTTCAGTGGAACACAGCCTCCAGAATGCGGTTGTTTCTAATGACATTGGCTTCATTGGTAGCGTTCCTTGGTACATTACATTATGCCATCACTAAAGCAGTCACTCACAGTCAGTTATTGGCGCATTCCAGTCCACACAGAGGTGCTACAAATACAGAGCTGAGAGAAAGCGCGTGGTCCTCACAGATTTCAAAGGCTCTATTTGTGGCCACAGATGGTGTTGGCTGAGGTCAGACTTTAAAGCCCGTTTGAAGATACGGCGAAAAGCGTTGCATTTCTTGATAAACTGCAGATTGTACCTTATCGCCATGAAGAAATAAGAAAACGTGACTTTGGCGGGTTTCACACAAGCCATTTTTTAAATCCACATGTGGAGGCGTTCACTTGATTGTGAAGTTAATGTGTTGTGGATTCTATCAAAAACCTACAGAAAATAATGACTAACATATTTTTTGTCAATAAATTACTACTCAGTTTATTACTCAGTTCTTATGCATTTAACCCTTGTGCTATCCCCAAATCAAATTGACCTGCCACTGTGGTTAAAAAATACCATAAATAATTATTTTCATGGCTGAATTTTGATGACCTTTTCTGACTTGGGCCATTTATGTTTTAATTTAGGGTATTTTTCTTCGACTATTAATCACTGAGCATAGCACAAGGGTTAAATTCAGTTGCATAGATATGAAAAATATGTTTTAGTGAGTTCTTAGCTAAAAGTTGGAAAGAAAAAATCCATTTGTAATATTAAAAACACAAAAACTTAAAGCTGAGGAAGATTTTTTCCCTTAAATAACATTTTTATTTGTCCCAACAGAAAGAGTTTTGTAAAAGTAAAATGTTGTGGTGAACGAATCAGACACGCTGCATTCCTCTTAAGAAACATGTCATCTTCTGCATAGTGGGAAAAATCAGAGCCCTGAGGGAGGTGCGCTCCTTTTCACTTTTCTGTCTGACAAAGCTGTTCTAAAGAGGTGACGGAGGCTAAAAATATATACATGTGAAAACTGGGGATGGTTATGAGAGCAAGAAATTACAGTTAGATGCTTCCATATGTGGATTGGAAAATTCCCCCCGCTCATTAAAGATGCAGTAAGCAAATTTGTTAGCTTAGCCGTAGCACCAACTAAAATCAACCCCCCCCTCGCCTCCCCTCTCCACCAAACCAAACATCCAGCATTTGCAGCATTTGTTTTTCTTTGTCACAACAGGGAGAGTGGGTGGCAAACGTGAAATTGGCATCTTCTCTTCAGCCATTTTAGGTTTTAGAAAATAATCCGATAACTCAGGTGCGCTCTGGAGAAACAGGAAGAGGGTGAAAGGGGTAAACGCATCCCATGGTTTTTTTTTTATCGGTCCGCTCCAAAATATATGTTTTTATAATTTTTTTTAGACTACAGGCATCTGGTCAAGTCCATTACTATTTGAAAACACATGAAAACCTGACTACCTTTAGGTTTTAGGGACGTTTTCCCACAATATTAAAAATATATATACTGTATAACTGACTGCATCTTTAAATGTCATTTAGTGAGAGAATATAGCTTCCGGATTGGTCAAGTTAACACAACGACTCCCACAAATATGAAACTATTAGAACTCCCTGAGCCGTCATTTTGACTGCTCTCATTCAAACCAATGGAATTCACATTGGTTTTAATGAGAAATGGAAAGACGCATTAAAAGCCTTCTCATATATTTTATACCTTTAGTCACTTTTACTAACTGCTAAAACTGGTTAATATAACTTAAATATAGCAAAAAGCAGTTTGTTGAAAGCCTACCAAATGCTAAGTAAGCATTCTGTTGCTATGGTAACTGCTCAATTCAACATTAAAGGGAAATCTAATTCAAAATAATGACAAAAATAAACTACAGCAAGAGATACGGTAAAATCACAGTTATGAAGACTCAAAAATGTACAGGCTTTTAGTAATTAAACTTTAAAAGGGACAAATTGACTGCTCTGGGATTTCTGATGTTAAGGACCAATGGAACGGTCAATGATAAGATGACACGGTGATGATGGAAGTGAGACACCTGAACACAGTGGAGCATCAAAGTCCCCAACCAACACCATCCATTCACTCTCTCATTACATTCCGACCTATTGTACAGGTTTTTAGTGGTAGGGGAAACTGGAGCACTCGGAGGAAACCTACGCAGACACTGGGAGAACATGCAAACTCTACACAGGAGGTGGAATAGAAGCCAGGACCTTCTTGCTGCTACTAGAACCGCTACTAAATAAAGAAAACTAACTATCAGAATTATTTTAGTCATTTCCTGTCGGCCTGTGACTCACCGTGGCGTTGTCCAGGTCCACGCCGGCCGCCCTGGTGCTGTTGTACTGCATGAAGGGCCTGATGAAGCGCAACCTGAAGGTGCGCTCGAACAGGAACTGGGTCTTCCTCTGGTACTCCGTGAGCCCGAAGAAGGCCATGTCCCGGAGGTTCTTCTTAGCCGACTCCAGGAGCAGCTGAGCGCGCTTCTTCTCCGGCACCGTGGACATGTTGTAGCAGCCCACCAGGCTCAGGTCGGCTAGCATGCGCACCTACACGGGATGCACGAGATAGCAGTCAGTGTGAGTAGGAGCCATTGGTCCATAAGGGGCAGATGACCAATGTCCAGAAAGGGTAATAAATGTCCTCAATCATCACTGTCTTTAGACCTTCCTGCATCGACAACAAGAGCTCAAAAACCCTTGAGGGAAAAAGGACTCAGGCTACTAAACACATTAATATGTATTCAACGGTTTGCGTGGACTTGTCACATAAGATGCACTCTGTCCTCCGATTATAGTAGTAGTAGTAGTGGGTAAGTAAAAGTAAAAGTATTTAATAGAGATAATTTAAACGTAATTATTTTCCTCTTTCTGCTTTGTTACATTTGTGTGACAGGACTACAATTATTTGAATTTATGGTACTGTCACGTCCACAATTGAAATTATATAAATACATGTAAATCATATGAAGAGAAGCAATACGTTCTCAAAAGCCCCAGGTTTTTTTTCTGTGTGTTTTTTTTGTTGTTGCTTGTATTAAAATCACTGTGTAGTACTGAACTACTCGGTTAACTTGTTTAACTGAAGCTGTATGCCGTATTACTTACAAAAAAATTAAATAACGTAAAGAATAGAGTTAAAGTGGTGTAGTTGCTATGATTTAGATAACTTTTTTGAGAACTTGCCATACTAATAGAGTTGTAGGAGCAGTTTCAGTAGTGACGCTTTAAAACAGCAATGCAGAACTTCATTTGTATGACTAGCTTGATGCAGCAGTAGTAAAAGTAGTACAGCAATACCAACACTATGGCAATGGTGATGATAGTAGTACCTGTAGTAGTGACAGTAGCATTGGTATTAGTAGTAGCAGATGTAGTAGACAGTGTTAGAAAACTACCAATGGTAAATTTAATGCTCTGGGATATTCTGCTCAGCTCATTTGCGATTTTCATAAATGATCACGCATGTCATTTATGAATAATATTTGGAAAAGGACAATTCCTCCAAGCAGTTAATACAATCAAATACCAGGACGACACTGTGGACATCTTATGGTCAGAAATGATAGATGCATGGATTGTAAATTCTTCAGATGGAGAGATTTTAAGATGAGTTATGTCAAAAAGTGAGAACTATTACATCCAATGATCAGTGAAATCTCAGCCAATATCTCACTAGAAGTAGTAGACAGTAGAAGTAGTAAGCAATAGAAGTAGCATTGATTATGCAGTAGTCATGGCAGTGATGGGTACCGTATTTAGGATTTTAAATCGGGGGTGTAATTTATACGACTTAAGTGTGAAATTATTAAATGTTATATATTATTTACTGTAAAATATGAAATAACCCAGGATAAGTTGAGTGATTAAGCTATTAAAAATGTGACTTATACTTTAGCATAATAAGTAAAAAAATGTTTAAAATCTCCAAGTACAAAATCAAAAAGAAGCATAAAAGTATAAAAGGCAGTAAATTCTAGTGAAAGAAATAGATAGTTGTGCGTCTATTGTAGCAGCGTACACACTATTCCATACGACAACCACTCCTTTATGACTCAATTATTCATTCATATTTCCTTTTTTTTCCATACTCATACAAAACAATTCATTCTTTGATACAAGAATGTATTCGGCAAAAGCACAAAACACCACAGGGATGATTTGATAAAGAGTTGGAAACACTGTGTGCCTATGAGACCAATATTTTGCAAAGCTTTGGGATATCCCTGAAGTGAAAGCCGCTACTTGTAATAAATCGCTCCATTGTTTATTTGCGCTACTCATTGACACTTCTGTTACAAAACTTGGCAAGCAAAATATAGTATTGGACTTGGAATACACGTTTGGTCTTCGCAAAAAGGATTCACACTTGTAATCCAGTCTGCGTGTGGAGAGTTTTACGTGTGAAGAGAGAGACTGGGCGCCGCTACACTGGGTCATGGAAAGGCACAGACGAAGATGAGGAGGAGGAACAAGATGGCAGACGCCTTTAGGATTCAGAGAGGCTGCGACGAAGAGGAGGTGTGAGCGCTGGCCAGAGTCACAGCTGATGAGTGTGAAACAACTGCCAGCGATGGAAGAGAAATGAGAAAGTGAAAGATTTCTTAAAAGGGTGTTTGGAGACATGTTTGTATTTTGTGTTAAAGTTAAAACTCCAGGAATATGTATTTGTTTGGTTCAACATTAGTTCATCAAGTTGTTGCACCGTGTCAATGGATTTTAGCGTTTATTCTGGAATATTCCGAAGTAGAGCAATGCAAACATCAAAATATCAGAACTTCTGTCATCTTTTGCAAAGTTTGATAGATTGTCCAGACTGAGACTTATCTGCCTTGGTAAGTAAGTAAGTAAGTAATGTTTATTTATATACCGCCTTTCACAGACCAGAGTCACAAAGCGGTTTACACATTTTTTTTGGGGCATTTGTCTCTCATTCCACACAGAGAAACCGGAGTACCCGGTGGAAACCTACGCAGACACAGGGAGAACATGCAAACTCCACTCAGAAAGGCCCTGGTCCGACCAGGATTCGAACCCAGAACCTTCTTGCTGAGAGGCTATCCACACAGCCACCGTGCCGCCCAAACTGGTAACTATGCGTGTGTTGTTTGAACCCCAAAAAGCAAGTTTCAAACGTGTTTATAACTTCGGTTTCACAAGATTCAGGAACCGACTTGAGATAACGCTAGATAAGGTTAAAGAAAATGGGTGGTTTCCTGGACTACATTTTCTCCCACTGGGTTTTCAGAGTTTCTCCTTGCCGATGCAGGAGGCTCCAAGGACAGTAGTGATGATCCAGGACTCTCAACATGCAACCACATTTATGGAGATTGGTCATCATCTGCCCCTTATGGACCCATGACTATGTGTTAATCTCTGATTTGTGTCTGTGAATTTGACGGTTTTGTAAAGTTCTCTAAAATAACTACTGTTGTGATTTAGGGCTATACAAAAAATGTATTGAATTGGATTTGACTCAAATCTCTACATAGACATCCTTATACTCCATACTGGCCCCTCCCCTCGCACCTGTCTGTTGTTGGCCAGGTTGTAAGGGCAGTCCATGAACTGCTGCAGCGTGCACCCGGACCAGTCGGAGCCCTCGTAGCAGGACGGCAGCTCCTCGGGGGTGGGGGTCCGGCCGTCGCACATGTGCAGGGAGGTCTTCCAGGTGGCCCCCCGCTGCACGTGCCTCCACTCGCTCAGGTAGCGCGACACCGGGTCCCTCAGCAGCGTGATGTAGTAGAACTTTCTGCAAGAGGACACAGACATGGTGGTGAGTTGGGGCTGCACGGTTTAGGAAAAATATACACTTTTTCGGATTAACATTGCGATTTATAATGTTTTGTTTTAATGTAATGAATAATAATAATAACAATAATACATCTATTTTGAATAGCGCGTGTTGATTATACACGTGTAAGTTTGTATAAAAGTTCATTTATTTCTGTGATTTAACTTAGGATGACCTTAGATGATAGAGTTAGAGTTATTCCAATGTGGTTTCACTCCAAATGGCAAATAAACGAAATCTTGAATCTTGAATGTTATAGACTCCTTATATGCATAAATGGACTGTAAGCCTTTGATCATTATGACTTTAGAAAATATCATAATTCTGCATTTGGGGTTTTTTCAAGCTGTGATTCAATTATCAACATTACAAGTGATAATATATCTATCACTTTGCGATTAATTAGTCAGTCCTAGTTTAACACTGTAAGTTGAAATATAAAAGTAAATTGACTTTTTAAACGGACCGTCTACACAAGTATTATCGTTTGCAGCCCTAATCTTAAATGCACTATTCCCAAAGCAAAAATCCTCCAAAGGTAGAATTGGACCAAAGCAACACAACTACAAAGCAATCACCTACATCAAAAACACATTTTGTCCCACAAGACGTGATGCGACTCGCTTGAAGTTCATGACCATTTTCTGAACTTCCCCACTATAAAAAAACAAAACATTTTATTTTGTGAACGTGAAGAGAAAAACAAGTCCCTCATAGTTGTGGGGACCCTTAATACATTTCTTTGGATGACAACTTTGCGCTCCAACTCGAGTGACAGCCTTCTCATGCCAAATCTCATTCACTTAAACAAAAACACTCGACAAATCCACAATCAATAAACAAGCCAAGCTCTTAACACAGTCGCGGAAAGACTCATTATGATATCGGCAAAGTGGAGGAGCAAATCTTTCCGGCCCTTTTCCCGGGGGGCCAATTTAGGCGAGGAATTAAAGCAACAAGCAGCGAGCAATTACACAAGAGGCTGCTGCTGCTGCTGCTGCTCCCACACGGCCCAACAGGGGGCACTGTCCAACACGCTACTGCAGCTCTTACTGTTGTGTCACAGTGAAAGCAAACATCTTTACTTGAAAACATTAAATATGTCCGACAAAAGATATGCAAATGCAAAGAGATTGAGATGAATTGCTTTGGCATTTTGAGTAGAGTAGGTGGTATTTTGAACATTGACTTTAATTATGTGTAAATAACAGGATGTGGCTGGGGTGCACCGCCGCATCAATAGAATATAAATAATGCACTTTGTAAACTGACGGCACAATAGAGAACGTTGTCAAATAAAAGGATAAAGGATTACGCATACAATGGATTATTTATTTACTCAATTCGTTCAGTGTTTGGGTGAAAGTTAACAAAAACAAACCGAGGATATACATATTTGGAAAAATCTAATCATATATTCACATCAGTTTCCTAAGTTTAGTATGTACTGTATGTGAGGAGAGGCTGCATTTGAGTCTTCCTGAAAATGTGAGACAGGGTTCTCCTCTGACTATGTTCAAATCCAGTTGGAAAACAGTTATTTTTAGCTGTGCATACAACTGATTGATTTTATCTGAACCTTTTTATTCTATGATTCTTATGCCTTGTGTGACTGTCTCTATCTTGTTTTGTTCAGCACTTTGAGTTGCCTTGTGTGCGAGTTGTGCTATACAAAAAAACTTGCCTCACCTCGCCTCGCCTCGCCTTGTCTATGTTTGCATCAATCTGCATCCATATCTTTCCATCTATCCATAGCATGTATTCTAAGAACCAACAAACCTCTTTCTATCCAGGCATAAACAATGTCTGCTGTATGAATCACCTTTTCCAGTGCGAACCAAAAAAACAACATCAGTCACACTAGGATCAGGTGCAAACAAGATGGAATGACTGATAAAGGGGGAGGTTCTTAGTAATGGCGTCGAGAAATCCTTTGATCAGATCTACATGTTCCATGAAATGTCACAAGATTATAATTACCCAAAAATAAATATTATGTTTTCCCTAAATACAGACACATCTAAAATGTTTAATCCAAATAAATTCTTCTTTAGTTTCATCTCGGCATTGCTTCGATCTGGCTTTGATTTCATGAGCTGTTCCATTTACAAGGAGCATGTCGGGCAAAAACAGCGTCTCCTACTTTCAGTTTTACAGAAGGCAATATGAGGTAGAAGGATCTCGACCTGTGCATTGGTGCATAAGGCAAAAGTAAATCAGAAATAGAAATATATGATGGGAAGCAGACAGTGGAGGGCTGTATGAACAAGTACAAGGATTCTAAAATCAATCTGTGAGGGAAATGTGGACACACAGTAGTTGGCATCTGCTGTGGCCCCTGATGATCAATCTCCCAACATGGATTTTTCAGGCCACAAACCTAATTAGACGATAGCTCCTTTGGTTAAAGTTAATTAAGTTTGAGAAGCCAGCATAGGAAGAATGTAGAAAAAAGCCAATGTATCCGTGGGAAAACTGGAGGTACAAATCAGGTGGTTAATCTCTATCGCTCTGGTCCATAGACTGATTCACATAATCAACTTTAGAATCCAAAATAGAAGAGAATTAATCTAAAAAGTACTAAACTAAAGTACGGGTGTGCTAAAAATAAATACACCAAATTTAAGATACAATATCTATATTTTTTAGAGTTATGTTTTGCTATATTTTAGAAATGAAATGAAATGTTGTATTTTTGGTTACATGTCATAACCCCTTTATTATTTATAGATTTTTTATCAAACTGTATTGATTGCCCTGTATCTATAGAATGTATCGAGGTACTTAAAAATCAGCAAACACCTAACCCTACTGTAAAGTGCATACACATTAATACAGACTGTTTAATACAAAAAACAAGAATAAAATTAAACTTCCAAACATATTTCCCCAAAACCCTCCAAAACTATCGCCATCAGAAACACATCCTTGTCCCACATAGAATCTCGGTGACGTGATGAGCCACCCATTGCCCATTGCCAGACACACACTCCCCCCCTTCTCCCTTCTCCCTTCTCTCACACGCTCTCACAGATCTCACCCCTCGCTCCAGACGTCCGGCTGTCTGTCCAAACGAGCCGGTGTTGATTGAATCTCCGGCCGCTAATTAGCACGGGGCCGGTTTAGACAGCGCAACTCTCCCGCCTGGCCTTTCCCTCATTATCCAATCACAAACACACCTGGGATTACACGCAACACCAACAACGTTATATTGAAAGGAAAACTCATTAAAAGCGGATATGATATGTAGAATTGACTTTTATGAGGTTTTAACCGTGTTATAACGGCGGCCTTGTGTCATTGTGAACAAGACAGACAATAGGCACATACTAACATGATCTGTATAATGTTTGTTAGGGCAAGACAGACTTGTTTTTAACTTTGAGTTCACAAAAGACAAACTGCTGTGAAAGTTATGATAAATCCCTCAGAGTGACGTATCAATGTTTAGTTCAGTTTTTCACTGTAGTTTAACAAGCCTCTACGATATTATTAATGGTACTTTTTCTGAGCCATGCAGTGTTGCTTGCCGAAAGCTGGGGAGCCTAACCTTTCTGTTTCATAATGCATGTTGTTTGTCCCGACAGAAACATTTAAAGTCTAAAGCGTAAATGTTGCAAACAAATCAGAAAACAACATGCTGTATTTATCCTATGAGAAAACTTTCACAAACGTGTAAGAAAAAGCTCAGTGAGTCACTCTTTTTCACTTTCTGTAAGAAAAAGTTCAGTGAGTCAATCCTTTTCACTTTCTGTCTGAAAAACCTCAAGATGTGACCAAAAATATATGTAGATGAAAAAGTCAGAACCAAACTGACTTGTCTGGTGTTCTGTGAATTGGGTGGTAGTCCTCGACCCAGAAATGGACAAAGGGGAAGAAAATGGATGGATGGGAAAACTGAAGGCTTTTTTTGATGATTTTTTGATGTATTAAATTTGAATTGAATTAACTTTGAGATAAAAAAAAAAAAAAATTGTACATACTTATAAATACTGTAATATTTATCTAAACCCCTAATACATGCAGACTATCACATCACTTGAGATCAATACTGGGACTGAAAATGTAGTTTAGGGCAGATAAAAGCACCTTCTATCATACATCAGCTGCGTTCCATTTTTGACACTTAGATCATTTTATCCCGAGAAGGGAAAAAATGAGATCACAAAGCTATGGCAAATGCAGCGACAGCCAAAACACACTGGCCCCAGCCCTCGCCAATCCACGAAACACAGCTCAGACCGAGCCTGTTCGGGTCTGGCACCGAGACTACTGTAACGCCCTCTACACTGGACTTAACCAATCACTCCTCAATCGGCTTCAACTGGTACAAAACGCAGCAGCTCGTCTCCTCTCCAACACCTCCAGACGCTCACACATCACCCCAGTCCTCCGCTCTCTCCACTGGCTCCCGGTGGCATTTAGGGTGGAGTTTAAGGTCCTGATGTTTGTGTTCAAGGCTATCAATGGTCTGGCCCCGGCCTACCTCGCCGAACTAGTAACGGTCTACAAACCAGCCAGAGCTCTGCGCTCCTCTGAACACACCTCCCTCGTCACTCCCAAATTCAAATACAAAAAGTTTGGAGGCCGTTCATTTGCTGCCCAAGGCCCAAAGCTGTGGAACGCACTTCCTGTACAGCTTCGAAACATCACTGAGTTGAGTGTTTTTAAATCACAGTTGAAGACACATCTTTTCAGGAAAGCATTCAATGCATAATCACTGACTCGACTGCTGTTCTTTTTTATGTGTTTGTTTTTATCGGTGTCTATTGTGATTCTTGTTTTTATCCTGGAAAGCGCCCTGGGCACCTTCTGGCTGTTGTTGGGCGCTATACAAATAAAAATTTGATTGATTGATTGATTGAGACCCCACTCAAACCGGGAGGCGGCAGGGGGATCACACTCAAGCCACAGGCCTAGGGGTGGGCGATATGGCCTAAAATTCATATCGCGGTATGATTTGGGTCACAGACGGTAG